TGTGTGTGTGTGTGTGTGTGTGTGTGTCTGGCCATGCACCACCACCCCAGTTTGAGACCATGAGGATTCAGGACAAGAGATTTTGTTTTCACCCTCCTATTTTCATTCTTAGGTGGGAGTAAAAAAAAAAAAAAAAGAGCCTCAAGTTTTCTTTTTTTAGCCATTCCCACTGGCTGTTGCTTTGATTCTATTCTCTATTTCAAGACCTGTGCATTTTGGTCAGGGGAACAACAGGATGTCCCTGGTCCTAAGTTCCTAATTTGGAATTGCTACTTACAACAATTATGTGGATACATCTGCCTCTTTTAATGTTTCTAGTTTATTTGACCCTTTGCCTTCTTTGATGTACAGACTGATACCACCCCCAGTAATACCCTTCATTTGTCATCTCTATACATTCTATCCAGAGATTATTCTGTCTCGCTGGTTCATGTGCCAGGTTTTAGGACAAGCTGAAACTTTACAAAAAGGATAGGTTTCCATTATGCCCACTGTATCCATGTTTAAACTCCCCCATCTCGGAAGTGTTTAGCGTTAGCAGAGAAACAACCATATGCAGTCTTCTTTTCCAGAACTCTTGTAAGTATGCTCTTCCCCCTTAAACCCCTTTGATTAGCAAGTATCTTTTCCTTTGCACTGCAGCCCATTTCCACTCAATGCTCAATTGAACAGTATGAATCTTTTTCATCCTCTTCCCCTGGAGATGAGTCAACCTGAACATCCCAGTACTCTGGGAGTCAGTTTCAGAGATGCTCTACCTCCAGCAGTCTGCTTCCATTCTGGTTCTACTGAAGTCCATCCTTTTTATACACAGCCACTTTGCCTGAACACTTCCTCCAGCTCCTAACACATCTGAACTCCTCCCTATACCTCTTCCCCAGTTTTGTCTGTTTATCCCTAGTGACCAGCAACAGATTTGTTCAACTCAAGGACACCTGAGAATGCTGGACAATTTTGTCTAAGATTCCATTTCTGTACACCCTTGTCTGGAAATAAGCCTTAAAATAAAAATTCCTGAAAATAACAGGAATTCGTGCTGAGTTGCCAGCTGTAGAACTGGATTTAAGATCTTTAAACCTTCACAGTAAAAGATCTAAAGGAGAGCTATCAAATTCCAGTTTACATACAAGGAGATCAATGTACAGTTTCTGTTGAGATTAAACACAGGAAATTGCTCCACCAGAATTAATACAAACACTATTGAAGAAGGCATTGCTTGCACAACTGCTGCTACTTTTTTAGATATTAATTTGCAATGCATCATTTCCTATTATTTCATGGAATGACGCATCCTATTTAAGCTATTTTAAGACATCAGATGTGACTGCAGTGCATACAGTATGCCACTTTATATCACATCATGAGGCAGCACAAGGTAAACATTATGTGATTGTCAAGCTTTTAATGTTGAACAGCTTGAACCAGTCAGATAATAGAGATGAAACTAAGAAAAATAGATGAAAATACTAGAAATGGACAGAAAAAACAAGCTGCCAAGTCTCTTGAAACCATCGTATCTTATATATATATATAGAAAACTTGCATTTTCTCTAACTTGCTAGAGATGCTTTATTCTTGCCTATGTTGCTAGTGTTTCATTTTTGGGTCTTAACTCAAATGTACTAATTGACTTGAACTGCAATTTTGACCAGTAAAAAATAATTTCACATTTCCTGCATTTTCTAATTGTATGTAAAAATGTGCAGCCAGAGGACCAGATACATTCTGTGCCCACAGCACTGTCACAATGGAACCTATTACCTGGAGAAGTTGTGGGCTCTCCTTGCTGGAGACATTCAAAAAGTGTCTGGATAGTCATCGGAGTGGGATGGTGTAACTTAGTGTCCTGCAATAGCAGGGGTTGGACCTGGTGACCTTTTGACTCTACTATTCTATGATTCTGTGATTTGATGAGCATGCTTAACCCCTGTTTTCAGTACCACATTTAACTGTTCCTTTGTCAAACTGAAATGAAATGAAACTTATATCTGAAGAGGAATTAGCTGGACAGGCTTTCTTGGGATATTAAACAAAGCAGGGGTTTTCTATCTTAATTGCTTAGAGAAACTCTCTGATCATTTTTTTCTTCTTTCATTTTGGCATTTTAAAAATGCTATTAGTACATCATAGCTGTAAGTTGCTAATCAAAGGTATACTATCAAATAATTCTTGACTAGAGCAAAGAGCAAACTGGAAAACAAACGAAGAAGAATGTTATTAAGGATTCCTGCCCACTTTAAACACAATAAAATAAAGGCTGAAACAACATGCACTGCTATCTCTATGGCTTTGATTCTTTGAAATTAAAAAATGATATTGATGAAGATTGGTGCATGAAATGAAAAAAAATTGACACTCATGTCTATACAAACTTGCCTTCTTTTCAAAACAATTTCTCTAGATTGCTCCTCACAGAGTTCTTTTATAAATGTTTCCACTGGAGCCAGAAAATAATTTCTGTAACCTTTGCTTCTGTCTCTTGGCTACTAGTGCTACAAATTAATTGAAAAGAAGAAAATGATACTTCATTGCATCAAATATATAGTGTCATTTTTATAGTGTCATTCTGACAGTATCAACAGCCCAAACTTGAGAAAGTGTCTGTCAAACAATAAATAAAAATAAGTCTGCTTGGTATTACTAATTTTCACTTACAGACATCTGTTTGCACCACTTTCCTGATTTAAAAAAATTGCAACACTAGAAAATGTATTTAAATGCATACTTAGTGGTATCATATGAATACAACTGAAAAACTCAGAAGTTGTCTGGTATAGTCAGACAAGGAAGGCTGTCCTTCTGGAATTCCATTTCCATCAGGAGAATAGTTTGTAGCCACAATAATCAGTAGGGAATCTGCCAGAGGTCTTTCAGCATGACCATAGCAAGAAGCAATGCTTTTAGACTCACTTGAAATGATGATTATTATGCATATGTGGAAGTTCAAGTTAAGCACTCTAAGATACCAATACGGATCTGGTTTAGACACTCTTAGGTTACACTGAAGCCTAAAAACAGATGTTGGTAAATCTGTAATCAAATGTTGTACTTAAATAGCCAGAGTGGGTGCATCTGAGCTGAACAGGACTGAGGTTGTAGGATTGGTCTATGAGAATTTATTCCTTTCCTTCCTTTGTTGTTTTTTTTATCTGGTATATGCTCATTACTCTAAAACTTGGTGTTTGCCTCAGTGAGAGGTTTCATATAAATATAATCCCCATATAATTCACCTATTGGCAAAAGGAAACTTCAGTGGATCAGAAATGTGGAAAAAGGCATTGAAAGAAATGCACCTCTTTATCCATCCTGTGGCACTAATCTAAATCCTCCCTTCATGCAGACTAAAATGGATGATTCCATTATGGATCTACTGACATCACTTAGTCCCAGATTTGATTTAAATCCACAGGTATTGGTCGGACATCTACGACAGCTGCTCCTTCCTTGGTCCTCCTACAAGGCCTTGTTGATGATCTTAGTTGCTCTTCCAGGATTCTTCACTGCCATCTTACTGGACATATAGATCAGAATGAAGATACAATTAGGATGCAGAGGAAGAGCTATAGGAAAACCAGAGCTGGAGAGAAATATACTTTAGCAGAAATACCAGAGATGTAAGCTGAATCTCAAAACAGCTTGCTGGCATTTAAGGTTTAAGTGCCCAGCAAAGCCATGGAGGAGTAACTATGTGAATTCTCATTTCCCAGAAACAAGTTTTATCTGAATTGCAATATTACCACTTCATTCTGGGTAGCAAAGCTGCTTTCTAAGCTTGCCAGAGCCCTTCCTCAAGGATGATGAAAACACATCTAAACACTTCGATAACCCAAGGTATTCATACTGAGGAACAGAATTGCAACCACTTTGGGTCCATGTTTAGATAGAACAATGCACTAGAAACCCCAGCATTCCCCAGCAAGTGCAGAGCTGGAATACTGGGAGCTGTAAATATCCATCAGCTTACAGGGGGGCAAATTGCTGCTCCTTCCATCCCCAAGATTTCAGGCATGACATCATTTGGAGAGAGCAACAGCAGCTATCGATCTCTTCTTTCAGATTCTAGCTACATAGACAAGGTCAAGACAGGACAGTGAATTAAACATGGAGTGTGGGAGGTGCTTCGAGTCTTAACTGCCACTGCACAAGCACCTCCACATAAAGCAAAGAGGCAGCAGGAAGGAGGAAGGCCAGGCTCCTTCGCACCAACGTAGTTCTGTGCTCAGCGAAGCAGCAGCTCCTCGTGCTGTGCACGCTTGTCCCATCAGCTTCTGCTCTCCCCTTCCTGACAACATGGGCCAGTCTGACTGGCTTTCTGGCAGGTCCAGTCATCATAGCCGGTTAGGCTGAGAGTTTGGTGACCTGTGGAAGCAACTGCCTTGTCAGGCAAATGGGCAAAAGACCCTTGCTGATGGTGCCTGCACAAATAATGGACTTTCCATCATGTTCTACCTGGCATGGGCTCCTGGCAGGACTTGCTTTCAATTTAAAATGAACTAATGAGGACTTTTGAGCCCACGGGTGAAGTGGGGGTAAGAATACAGAAATATCACCCATCTGGGAAGTTGCACAGTGTGTGTGTGTTCTGCATCCCAGATGTGCAATGGAAACACACTCCTTATGTCCACCGGCCCTCCCATAAAACATGCTTAGGACTGGGCTGTTAAGACCCTTCAAATGCTTTGGTTTTATCCACAAAGTCTGGGTAAGAGCCTGTCCCCCAAATGCCCCCCTCTTCCTTTTCACTTACCACTCAAAACAACAACAACAACAACTGGTAGGAGCAGGAGCAGCAAGTACAAAGAAGGGAAATGCAAATGCGCTTCTTATAGAAGACTTCAGAAAGCACACCTCTCCCTGGCTTTGCCCTGTGATGCACTGTTACCCAGCAGCTCTATTTGAGGGCATTATCCCTGGATGGAATACGGAATGTGAAATGGAGAGGGCCAGGCATGCCGGTCCCACTTCCATGGTCCCCAGCCTCAAAAAGAGTTTCTACTTACTGAAAAGCAGGAGACTGCCAGCAGAGCTTAGGGGAATACAGGAGTTCTTTAGCTCAAGTTTTATCTGAGCTGGTCAAAGGGGTCAAAGTCTCTCTCTCTCTCTCTCTCTCTCTCTCTCTCTCTCTCTCTCTCTCTCTGTGTGTGTGTGTGTGTGTGTGTGTGTGCATGCGCGCATGTACATGTGCACACACATGTGCATATGGGTGGATGGGGGGTGCAGTTTGAAGCAGGCCCCTGAAGTTAATATTCAAACATGGTTCAGGAGAACTTTGTTAGTATATCTGCTTAGGTTTTAGCTCTGTATTCAAATGTACCTCCTACCCATGTGGAAATGGCAGAAAGATGCAGCCACCCCGCAGCAGAAGTGACTTCACCCCAGATTTATATGATATTTCTCCCAGATTTAGAACGTATGTTTCTGTGATCTGAGCAAAATATTAGGAAAGATTTTGCCATGCTTTCTGGGCAAAGAAGGATAAATACACAAGCAGATAATAAGTACACTCACACACCAGTTATTTTAAAGAATGTCAAAGACCATTTTGTTTTGCTGCTATTGGAAAACGTTGATTTGTCTCCCAGGCTAACAGCTAACCTTCCCCGATAATTAAGAAATGTTCAAAGCTTTCCAATATAGAATGAAAGTTTGAGTCAATGTTGACATTCCTTCTAGCCTGATCTGCCCAGCTGTCAAAGTCCAAGTACCTTCTAATGTAGTCTATCTCATCTTTTTTCCAGAAGTGATATTTCAGAATGCAATTAGTAACATTGCCATAAATCATAATGTATACCATCAACAAGGTGATCTGGACAGCTAGAAGATCATAACAATAGTTTAAGCAGGAATAGCTACATTTTATTTCCTTTCTAAGAGAGAAAGAAAGAAATGTAGCTATCATAAAGGTCACTATTAAATAAGGCATAACAAAAACCATATCATTTCCACTGGAGAGGCAACACTGAAACACACTGGATACATTAAATATGATAAATGAATTTCATTTTTAGCATCATTGTGAAGCTTTCTTATTTGCTTTGTTTTTGTTTTTCCATTGAAACTCTTGATTTCTCCCCACCGTTAATATAAAATTTTGAGTGCAAATTTGTTCAAAATGCAAATGAAGATTTATGATGCTCATTGTCTTTATGAGATGTTGGTCTTTCCCAGATATTCCTTTCATGAAAAAATGCTTCAAAATGCATAGCTCTCCATTTAACATACAGTACACATATGAGATTGTTATGTTTAAGTGATCCATGAAGGCAAACTCATATGAGTTTCCATATCAGTCAGCTGTGATCTAAACTGCACAGAGCTTTAGGCTGTAATCCTGTGCACATTTGTCAATGAATAAACCAGTTCAATACATTACGATTTACATTTGAGAGGCATATGGATATGAAAGTTATGTTTAGATCTTACAAATTGGATAACCTTAATACTGCAATCCTTTACATGTCTGCTCAGATGGAAGTTGCCGTAGCTTGCTTTGCATCGTCACTTATTAAAGCCACCATGGGTTGCAGTGCAGGCGTGCAGCCACTGTGAATATTCAAGCCACAGTGTTTTATTGTGATGCATGAGCTCAGTCAGGGTGGATTGTTGCTGTCAGTAATCCATCAACTATTTTGCGGTGTGAGTGGTTTGTTAACCACAGAACCCCCCTGCATTAGGTTTGGATGCCATGATAAGATGTGGCAGCTGCCATCCATAACTTGAATTCTCAGAATGGTCACCAAGATATGCCCATCACTAAACATGGTTTAAATAACTGAGTACATGTAAGTAGGTATAGGATTTCTGCAAAAGAGAAACATATGGATCATTATCACTGAACAATAATAAAACAATCAATATTAATTAGATGATCAGCCCTACATCCTATGAAAGAAGGGGACCGGCAGCTCCTTGTTTGGATTTAACTTTAAGCACATTGGCAATATGAAAATAAACAAAACAATTATAATAGAGATCTCTCCTAACTTCCACATTCTGCTTTTAGCATTAATATCCCATTAAGCAGTTCACCATTAGTTAGTGTTCCAGTTCTTATGTTCTGAAAAGTATTTTGTTCTAAAGAATAGATTTGGTTTTAAAAACCTGTTTAATGATTAAAATTTCCCTGGCAGAGCAAAAATGCTTTTCATTGGTTGAAATCACTGTGAAGTCAGTACTGTTCTTGCTTGCAATGTGCAGAATGATTCAACCACATTTGATGGAGATGTGCAAGAAAGAGGCTGGGATGCCAAGGTCTGTCTCCTCATGTATTTTGAACATGCAGAATTTGAATGCAGGAACAGGGCTATACATTATCTAAAACATTATTCAGGTCTTTACTTACCACGCACAGCCTCTATCTAAGAATGCTGGAAAATCCATATTCAGGCTTGTGTGAAAGGTCTCTTGGGATAGAACAGGCTGTCATCTTCAGCAGTCAGCATCTATGAATTTTATTACTGACAAGTCATTTCCAACTTATGGTGACCCAATGAATGAACAGCCTCCAAAACGTCCTGTTCGCAGCCCTGCTCAGCTCTTGGCCGTGGCTTCTTTATGGAGTTGTAGAGGTGACAAATATGATGATGGACAGGGGCTGGGCTACAGTGCTTCCCTCACATGTTTGATCTACCTGGTAAGTGAGTGCCTGGATAAAGCTTAGTTGAACACAGGAACCAAAGCTAGGTTTGTATCTAATGATGGAAAGGACAGTAACCCACAAAAATTTCTGCCATAACAATGGGTTTCGGGTTCCAGAAGATTCTTTGTTTTAATGGCTGGCTTGTTATCCTTGGTGAACACTCTTCTGTGAGGAAACGTATCTAGTTATGAATGTTTAAAGGTAGCAAAGAGCTAAACACTTTAGAATTCCTTGCTCATTTGGACATTACTATATAAAATCTGACTAATCTTTAAGAAGTCTTAGTTGTACCGGATTAAAACAGGAGTTTAGGCCATTTCTTGTCATTCTTCCAGGGCTACTGGTCCTGAGTGGTCTTGAAACTTTGGTAACTCCTATTTCCTGGATTTTCTAAACAATCCACTTTAAAAACACCTGGAAATAATTTTAAATAGATAATTTCTTCACATAAGCTAGAATAAGTAGACAACCAGCAAGGCTAAAGGTCAAGAATGATGGGAATTGAAGTTAAAAAGAGCTGGAGGGCAGCAGGTTGCTGTGACCTGTAGCAAACTATGTAATGGATGTGAGTTCACAGTAATTAGCACAGTAGGAAAAGAAAGAATGTAGTTTCTCCAAAATGCAGCTTGCTTTTTCTCCTAGCAGGCAACGAGGATATCCTCTAGAGAAAGCAAGAAAAATGAGTGATTCTTCACAGCGAATGCCACTGTGTGATGCCTACATATGTTCAGTTACCCAAAAGTTCTAATGATGCTCCTGACAGTCTTGTTAAAAACTGGGGGACTGGGCTGGAGCAGAGCGAAAAGTGATGCATAACCAAATGGCTGTGAAGTTATTTAATTAGCTTAGAGCCTAAGCATAGCATTGCCAGTCATTTCAGAGTGTTTACATTAGTTAATAAAGGGTAGCTCAACAACAGCATATTATGAAGCATTAATAGTAATGATGGCTTGCCCACTAATAAAGTAATTGCGTATACTAAACTGTGCTCTTACAGCTGCTGCCTCCCATTGCTATCGACTTTATCTGTCTCGATGCCTGCAGCAGTTCAGCAAGACCAAGGGAAACAACATTAGATTCTTCATTATTTATAACCTCGTCCCTCTCCCTAATAAAACAGAAATTCTATAAACACTGTTTCCATGGAAACTCAAGTGAGGCGCAAATTACCCTGGGTTTTTCTGTCATCTGTCTCTCTGTGGCCACAGGTAAGAAAGGTTTGAAAATGCCTGCGTGTGATCAGGTTGATGGTGGTGCAGGACTGTGCTTGGCCATAGACAATAAACACAGGGAGCAGTCACAGACTGGGAATGCCCTCTGTAGCAAGTGGGGTGGAAAACAGACAAAATAAGAGGGCCCTCTGCTTTCACTCTTTTCTTTCTGTGCCTATTTGTGTATCTCCAGGTAAAAGACTCTTCCCAATGCCTCTGATTGTCTCTTCCAAAGCACCCTTAAAAACCTGTAGCTTTCAGGATTTACTTAGGTAATCTGGAAGTTGACCCTTAGATGTAAGCTGATAAGTTTCAGCTAGATACTGATGGTAAGTTTAAAGGATCTACATTCAGGTATTTCAAGATCAGATTGTTCCAAAGCAATGCAGGTGGTATGGATCTCATCCTGGCTCACTTCAAAACCATTTGTGTGTTTTGAGTGTTTTCACTGAATGGTTCAAACCTTAAAGGGTCTGAGTGTGTGCATGTGCAGAAGCCCTATTTTAGCCCTAAAAGACTGATCATCCATCTGCCAGCTCTACCTCCCAGCCCCCCTCCCAAATGCCCCCAAAGACCCAGGGGCACCTGGCAGAGCAGAAGATAGGCACTAGTCCCTTTGACTGGGTTCAGAGAACATGATAACCCGCTCAAGGGTTGGGCATGGTTGTGCTGAAACAGAGGTTGTAATGTTGCCTGAACCCAGCATGTACAAGCAACAGAGAAGCCATGATGGGATCCCATGGTTTGCTGTTGAGTTGTAAACTACATGTTCACTTGCATGTTCACCGTGGATTGTTATTTTTGTTGGATACAGACAGGATGATAGCCCCCATTTCAACTAAAGCCATGGTCCAATCACAACCCATGCTCAACCCTTAGGTAATGGTGGTGTTTGAAGTTAGTCTGTGACTCTGAATTCAAAAGGATTTTCTGGAGTGTGCGTTATGTCCTGCCAGGATCATGCAATGTGTTGTTTTGACTGCCAAGGAGAGGGATTGTAGGCATGGATGTCCCTAAATAGCACGCACCTAGTAAGCCACTTTGCAGAGCAAACTACCAAAGGCAACATGGATTCTGGACATTTTGGACTTTTTGATCAGATATAATCAAATAAAAATATGACAGACAAAAACAACAGGAAATGAGCAAATGGCCTCTATGCAGAAACTGAAATTTGCATTTTAAATGATGGTGATGATGATTCAATGAAAGGTTCTTT